TTTTTTTTTGGGGGGGCATGTTTGGCATCATCATCCAGGCTGGGCCTCTGGTCCGGGGCCGGCCTGGACGACCTAGGCCAAGCTTCTGCAGCTCACCCAGAGACTGGAGCGCTTAGAGAGGCGAACCAGGGGGCCTTTGTTGAAGCGAGCAACCGCCGCGATTTCGCACACGGACCGTGTCGGACGAGTTCCGTGCTTTTGCCGCCGTGGTTTGGACCGAAAACAAGCTAGATAGAAAGATAGGACTGGTAAGTAACTCCCCGAGGTCCAGAAACCATGCAGCAAGCATGGGTCATATTTCATATGCATAGCTTGGCAGCTTGGCAGTGGTTCACCCAAAGCAACACATCAAAACATCTTCAGTCTCATGCAAAGAATAGCCGCACAGTAAGCTGGTTCCAGTGGCTGATGCTCTCGCACAGAGTGCCGGTGTTAACGATGTGATGCCTTGACTGCGTGTGCGAAAATGAATGTCTCCAAGCTGCACCAGCAAACCTTTTGTGGACAAAGGCCAGGGACCCTTCAAGGGTGAAAGGGCAGAGCCAATGCAAGTGGGGAGTTGCCCCACGCTGTTGTATTGTCTTTGTTCTGGTGCCTTGCCATCGACTTGCTGCTGTGGTTTGCGCTCGCCACCCGTTTTCTTTTTCTTCTGGGGGGTTGGACTTCCACTGCTAGAGAGTGAAATGTGGGCTGAACTAACAAGGGGTTTGTTTGCCATTGTGAGTCCATGCATATGGAACCCTAAAAGCGGGAGCTCGTCTTGCCCGGAGTTTCGATCCAAAGCCCGGGAGTGGATGGAGCCACCAAGGCCGAGGAGGACTCGTTCCCCTTCTCCATCTGCTTATGTCGCCCTTGTGACTTGGCTGCCTTCGTGGGCCGCTGGTCTTTTTGTTCAGAACAGAAGGGGAAGACGAAGCCTTCGGTTTTCGATGACGTGTGGCGGTGTCGCCGGATTCTCGCGTCCAGGTCTGCAGGGTGAGGGTCAGCCATTTGCGGAGGTGTCTTACCGGAGGCACTTCCACCAGATTCTGAGATGGCCTTGCCATTCGTTTCCCTTCGAGCTTGCCAGCTCTGGAAAAATGGAGATTCAGGTCTTCCTTGCAGAGGACGAGTCTGCTTTCCAGCAGCAATATCGGCAAGCAATGGGCTGCTGCACACTGAACTTGGACACATTAGTCGAGGTGGGGAAAGCAATCCGTTCTGCTTGAGTTGCCGCTGTACCTGCTGTAGCCATGAGCCCCTAGCCCGTGGCACCACGAAGTTGGCCCCCACTAGGGCATTCACTTGGGAGTAGGCCTGGGCTAAAATCTCTCAGCGAGCTGAAGAGGCCGTCTCCGCTTTCGACTAGCATCTAGACAGATAGACAGATAGACAGACAAGATAAGAGAAAAAACGCGTTGGCACACACACACACGGAGAGATATGGTGTTATATGTATACATATGTATATATATAATTCCATTGCAGCCGCTGTGGGGGTCCCACTTTTCCACCCGCAGACGAAGACACATTACGAAGACACATTCAAGCACAGCCACCTCTCCTCCCGCAATGTGAAGACGATTTCCGCAGACGAATTCTCCGAAGACGCATTAGACCCCGAAGACGAATTAGACCCTGAAGACACTTTCCGCAGACGAAATCTCCGAAGACGAATTAGCCCCCGAAGACGGATTAGACCCCGAAGACGCTTTCCGCAGACGAATTCTCCGAAGACGAA